CTTGCCTAAGGACACAACAACAGCAGACATCAGTGGGAGTCGCTGGTGAAAGGCTCTACCAACTGAGCTACTGTCGCCCCAAAACCACAGCATATTGCGCTGAATAAATCCATCTTGTTTCTCTCTCTCTCCAAAACAGTTTGACTCTATCACACATTATCACATGGACATGAAATCCAAAATCCATTCTACAAGCGTCGATCCATGACGTCATAGTCTGAGCGGTGAGGAGCAATCTTTGTGTATATTTGGTGCCAAAAGTTTCTTACAAAAGAGTGGAGGGAGCCAACAACGACAACAATTGCATTTGATGAAAGAACTAAAAAGCAAGACATTCAAAAAAAAGACGATTTTGCATAATAATACGTCTCCTCTGATGTTTGTGTTCAATAAGTTTAAAAGAAAGTCATTCTTCTCAGCCTGAGGGGACATAGGGAGAGCAGACACACACACACACACACTTGTATACTCTTGGTAAGGCAGCGGGAGTGCAGATATGGGGGGCAGTGAGGCGTGGGCGGCTGCTGCTGGGACACTTTCCCCGGGCAAAGACAGGGAGGAAAGCAGGGACGTGATCAATGTTGAGGCATAAGAGGAGTGAAAGCATTGGAGGAGCGCCAACAAGAGCTTGATACATGGCTCAAAGTATTTTTCAGAGCAGCCGTGAAAGTCCGCAATGCAACAGCAGCAACGTCATCACAGTCATAACGTAATAATTGTGGTAATTTTCAAATGTGATGAAAACAATTGCAAAATAATTGGCTAATAATGTGTTAACTTGGAGGTGCCAATTATGTAATTTAATGATGATAACGTAAGAAGTTATTGTTATATGTTATTGGCTGGTTCAGTAGTTCATCCTAGTTGTTTGAATAGATATTAAAGTGATAGTCTGTAACTCTAAATGAATTACAAATTTTAAGAATTGTATTAAATTGACCTCCTGACCTTAAGTGTTGATATAAAATAAGTCATTTTATTCATTCTAATATTACAGTTAAGTCCCGCCTTCCCTTCTCTTAGCTATAGCTCAGAATCCACGATGCCGTCCACGTTAGCCAATCAGGTGATGCCAAGGGCTGTCAATCATCAGCGCTGATGCTCGTAGCTGCTCAGGCTCAGTTGGTTGTTTTCGCGGAGCCTCAGAATCAAGCCTCTATTGGGCTCTGAACCTATATCCATAATCATTTATATACTGAACCTATATCCATAATCATTTATATACTGAACCTATATCCATAATCAGATCCTCTGCAGATGTGTCCTATAATGTGCAATTCATGATAATAGCACTTCCTGGTTTGCCGCGACCGTTTTTTTGTGCATTAAAACATCATTTTTTTCATGAAAGCGTTAACAAATAATTCTGAAAACCTCCGTGCATGTGTATTAATAATGTATATGTGTAATGTGTTCTCTGATTAACATTTAAAAGTGTTACGGAAACGTAGGTGTAGACCAATCAGAAAGGAAGGGGGAGGAGCTTGCGTTGTTGTCTCTCTTTTTCCGACAAACTGCAGACAATCACTTTAAAGGTGACATCCTGGCTGTTAAAGGTGTGTCCACTCTCATGGCATGGTCTTTCAATTAATTATTCTGGTTTTATTTTGATATCTATTTGTGCTCTTGAGTTTTACTTCCTGTCCATCCCGTTGATTGTTTGCCCCGCCCTGATGTGTCACACCTGAGTCTCCCTGTGTACATTAAGGTTATAGCCACACGAAGACAAAACGCTTATAATTTCAGAAACTTTTTCTGTAAACACGGAGTTAGCTCAGTAAATGTGTGCGTCCATATGAATGTAGTCAATACGCCTGAAAACGCTGTGAAACTATGCCAGACCTGTTGGTGGCGCTGTGACGCAATGACGGGATCAAGCCCAAACTTCCGTGACGGGAACTGGGCATGCGCAGAATTTTGTAAACAGACAACATGGCGAGTGGGCGAGCTGGTACTACATTAGTATGGACGGACGATGAGGTTGAACTGTTGCTTCGGGTCGCACTGGATTACAAAACCAACAAGCTACATTGTTGTTGTCATTATTTTCTGAGTGCGGCGCATGCTGCTTTAACAAGAGGCGGGGCGATGACGCAAGCGTCTCAGATACATTGCGGAGAGGCAGTAACCACGGAGCGGCATATACGGAGTTTTGAAATCTTTCCACTCTGGGATCTACTTTCAAAAATGTTCGTTTACACCCCCCCAAAACGCCGGCCTCGTATTTTTGCGTTTAGGCCTGAGCTTGACTTCGTGTGGACAGGGCCTTAGACCCTGTGCTCTTCTTCTCTTGTTGTCGGCCCATTACTGTTTTTTCAGCATGTCTTGTCACTGGTTTTTACTTTTGGTTTTATTGTCTTGTTTCATTTATTCAATTATATAAAGTCCGTGTTTATCCGTTATCCGTGACACAAACTGGTCCACAAAGGGCAAGGTGGGGGTTTTCAGTCCAAAAGGAGAACGTCAGACCCCGCCCATTTTCTCATGTATTGAGGTTAGGCTGGGCAATATGGCAAAAAAGTAACAAAAAAAGTCATGTCAATATGCACAGCAACCAAGCCACCCCAGCGGGACAGGAGGTGGACGTTTTTATTCAGTTTACAGATATGAACGAGATGAAAGCCTGATAAACCCATAAACACTTCACAGGTCCAGGGTTGGAATATGAGCACAAGATATGATGTTATTTGACACTAGTTATGGTTCGTGGTTTACTGCCTTGTGTCTGCGCAGCTCACCATGTGTGTGTAAGGACACTAAATTGTTCATTTTTGGGATTAAACGTTGTTATTTATTGTGAGGAACAGATACTGCTTTAATGAGTTGCACTGAAATTATATTTATTTTACCACAAGAGGAATGTTTGTGCATTCTCTCCATGGCCTTGCACCAGAATATATCAGTGACATGTTAGTCCCACATGAACCAGCCCGGACTCTGAGGAGCACAGGGACTGGACTCCTGCTGGGACTCTGAGGAGCACAGGGACTGGACTCCTGCTGGGACTCTGAGGAGCACAGGGACTGGACTCCTGCTGGGACTCTGAGGAGCGCAGGGACTGGACTCCTGCTGGGACTCTGAGGAGCACAGGGACTGGACTCCTGCTGGGACTCTGAGGAGCACAGGGACTGGACTCCTGCTGGGACTCTGAGGAGCGCAGGGACTGGACTCCTGCTGGGACTCTGAGGAGCGCAGGGACTGGACTCCTGCTGGGACTCTGAGGAGCACAGGGACTGGACTCCTGCTGGGACTCTGAGGAGCACAGGGACTGGACTCCTGCTGGGACTCTGAGGAGCACAGGGACTGGACTCCTGTTAGTGCCCAGAGTCAGAACTAAACACGGGGAGGCAGCTTTTCAGATTCATGCTGCTAAAATCTGGAACAGTCTTCCTGAAGATGTGAGACAGGCCTCCTCTCTGACAATGTTTAAAACCAGGTTAAAGACAGTTCTGTTCAGCTGTGCTACAACTGAGGGATTTTATATTTTTATCATTCTTTTTAATGTACTGTGATTATTTATGATTTTAATGCTTTCTTATTTTGTTCAGCACTTTGAGTTGCCTTGAGTATGAATTATGCTATAGAAAAAAACTTGCCTTGCCTTGCGTACCTTGCTGATTCACTCGGTGCCCCACCTCCTCTACAGACACACAGTCTTGCTATATGTAAATATTCAGTGTCCAGTGCATCCTGCAGGACTCTCTGGGGTTTAAGGCGTTTAAAGATGCAGTCAGTGATTGTTTCCAGACGCATGTTTTAAATATTGTGAGAAAACGTCCCTAAACCCTAAAAGTAGTCAAGTAATCATGTGTTTTCTAATAGTGATGACCAGATGTCTATAGTCTCCAAAAATTCATAGAAAATATTTTGGAGCGGACCGATAAAAATAAACCAATGGGATTGCTTCATCCTAAACGAACCAATGGGATGCGTTTACCCCCTTCACCCTCTTCCTGTCCTCGCGAGTGTGCACCTGAGTTGTCGGATTTTCTAAAACTTAAAATGGCTGAACAGAAAATGCCAATTTCACGTTTGCCGCCAACTCTCCTTGTTGTGACAAAGAAAAGAAAATGCTGGATGTTTGGTTCGGTGGAGAGGGAGGGGAGGGGGGAGTGGCCTTGAGTTGGTGCTACGGCTAAGCTAACAACATCGCTTACTGCACCTTTAAGTAGTATACTTCTTCTGTATATATTATAAGATGTGAAATTGCTCTTGCTCTTATCTTGTTGTTGCTGTCCAATGACCAATGAAATAATGGTACACTTCATTAAACTAAATGCCCTCTGCCAAGTGGGCAGTTTAACAGAAGCTGCTCCACAGAACCCAAATGCTTCTTCAGGCTCCTCTCCAGCATCATTCTCTGCTAATAGAGCCATCACCAGTGTTCAGAAGTACTCACCCAAGTACTGTAGAAGACTGTCACTGAAAGAGAGAGCAATCTTTGGCAAGTAAGAGGAGAGAGGTGTGGGGTCAGAGAGTGTTTCAGCCTCTGTAAATGAGTGTGTGCACCAGTGCTAGTGTATTATACGTATATTGTTATCGTACATGGTATTGATATTGCTCTTGTTTGATATCGTTCTTGTACTTGAATTGTGTGTCCATTAATGGGGAAGGAAAGGGAATAACATTTGCATCATCCAAAACCAGATGTGTAGATATATATTGTGCAGGTTGGAAACAAATTCAATCCAAATACTTTCCGGTCTCTGCAAGGTCTGCATCCCATAAAATAGCCAGTACATTCATCCCATGCATACTTCTCACTCACTTCATCTCCCCAGTCTGAACTAATACCTATCACCTAATGCTGAAGCAGACTCTGTGGATATATTTGTGCAATGCTTCAAAACTAGGACAGTTTCTCTCAAACTATGAATCTGTTTGAGCCTAGGCGGCCGCCCAGTCGACTTCAAAGACTTATAATTGTAGAAGTATCCAACACGATCCTTCCACTTTGTGTCCGAGCAAATAAATGACATAGAAATAGATTGTGTCCATACCTCATGTTTGCCCTTCATTCTGCAAATTCGGATGTCGTTCTTGTTTGACTCCCATGTTCTTTTCTGAAAAATAAACAGTCACAATCACAGCCAAAACAAAAACGCAATATACAGTAGTTCAAAATAGTGCATTTACCTTACTGTAGAACATCTCATCTCCAGCAACGATGTCCAACTCCACTCGGAAAAGGTCGTCTCTGAGGGAACACATACGAAATGATATAAAGTCAAGTTACTGCGTGAATGATAGTAAGTCAGTAAGTAATGTTTATTTATATAGCGCATTTTACAGACCAAGGTACAGACCCAAAGCACTTTACAATGTTCAGAGTCAGATATTGTTCCAATCCTTCCACACACGGTGACGACAGAAGCGAGTCCAGAACACACTGGACCATCAGCTCCAACACCATCCATTCACTCTCTCATTTACATTCAGACCGATTGTGCATGTTTTTAGTGGTAGGGGAAACCGGAGCACCCGGAGGAAACCTACGCAGACACGGGGAGAACATGCAAACTCCACTCAGAAAGGCCCTTTTCCGACCGGGATTCAAACCCAGGACCTTCTTGGTGAGAAGCGAGAGCGCTATCCACTCAGCCACCAGCAGAAGTTAAATACTAAAAACACTGCTTTATATCCATTTTACTAGATTTTCTGAACATAGACATTTATTTTCTTCCCTCTCAAATTACAAGTTTAATTTACTTTAATAAGTTGCTTCTAATATTTAAGAAGTGAAATTACCTTCCTCTAGATGTTGACCTAAATCTACCATGATACCATCCAGAGAAACTGCAGAACTTTTGTTTTAGAAGTCAGAAAACGGAATGACCACGACAAAGTATTTGGACAGAACGATAAGGGGCACATTATATACCAGAAGTTCTAAATATTATTGTGAATGAACAACTCTGTATAAATAAACTCTGCAATGTTTAAATTTTATTGATTTTAATATTTTCTCATCATTATTATTCCACATCCGCTGTTTCTCCACTTCTTTACGTCAATAAAATCAATACATTCATTAAACAATATTAAAACACTGGACTAATCACTAGTAACAGAATAAGAAAACACCAACAATGCGGCACGGTGGCTGAGTGAATAGCACTCTCGCCTCTCAGCAAGAAGGTCCTGGGTTCGAATCCCGGTCGGACCATGGCTTTTCTGAGTGAAGTTTGTATGTTGTGTCTGTGTAGGTTTCCTCCAGGTGCTCCAGTTTCCCCTACCACTAAAAATATGTCCAATAGTTCTGGCATGCGCCTCCTGTACTGGCCCTGCTCCCATCTCTGTGTGGAGTGAGAGACAAATGCCCAAAAAATAACAATTGTAAACCGCTTTGAGACTCAGATCTGCAGAGAAAAGGCGGTATATAAATAAAGATTACTTACTACTACAAAGCTTGCAAACAAAGAATATAAAAAATAATGCAATTGTTACTGGACATTATGCACTAACATTGCACTAAAAAACAGTTTGCGAATGCAGCTACTGAAATTATTTACAACATATTTATAAAAGACATACAATTATTATACTGCAGAAAAACAGGAATGCATTTGTATGAGCTCTTATGATCATAATATTGTTCCACTCTTTGACACAAACACAGTAAGTCATATTTAGAACACGAAAGTCAAACACGAAAAGTCATATTTAGAAACGAGGTGGCCAATGTGGTTATACGCCACTATCTATTGACTTGCCCGTAACCTTTCCAAACGCGCATATTAAATCTAATTATTTCGCCATAATGAGATTGCACTGGGTGAGATTTGATATTTTTAACAATATCTGCTATTCCTGCTGATACTTGTATATTCTGTCTGCATCGTGCCTTCTCGAGTTTCCCCTCTGCTTCTTGCCTCTCCTCATTAAACTTGTCTTGCTGCATTGAATTTGCTGCAGGGCCTGAATTTCACTTATCTGTCCCGTTTCAAAAGCTCCCAAATTGAATTAATGCGTGATTAAATCGGCTTGTTTTACCGATGCTCTGACTCCCACAAGCTGCGTACTGTACATAATCCTGGCTGTACGTACGCATTCATAATTCCCCAAACAGACTGCATAAGTAGGGGCTATGTTTTGCAGTAGCCTTGTCTCTTCCCGAGTTCTGTTAAAAGACGTCGTGGATGGAGAGCCGATCAGAGCCCTCGCAGCTCCAGGGATGGATCGAAAAGTCGGGCTTCATCTCAAAGGTTGCAAGGACTAATCTGTAAATCTGCCATAGCCGCGGTATTACTGTGGTATCGACCGCCATTTCAAAGTCTGCTTTTCGGCTTCATATTTCTTCCTTTTAAAGTATCATTAAAGATCATGTCAGCAACTTCAAAAAGAATTTGGAGGATGTATATTTCTGACCATGGGATCCTTATGTACAGTTAGTACTTTTCAACACTAGTATGTTTAAAATAGCGCCTCCCCTTGGGCAGAAGTGGGATCAGAAAGATTTATTGGAGGAGAATAAATAAAACAATAACAAGGAGCCTGAGGGATGTGGAATCATTTTGACCAATCAGAGGTTGCGGAGGTGAACATGGGCGGGTCTAACCAGTGTGTTGTGTGTTGTTGTAGTCTCTAATTGTTATGCTTTTCATTGCAGAATACAATATAAAAAAAACAAAAAGTATAAATTTATATATTCAACATTTAAAAAGGAGTAGGTAGAAGTACATCTTTTGTTTCCTACCCTTTTTTGCATTTATACTTTCTTTCAGTATTACAAATGATTGACCTCAATTTACAGTCAAAACTTACATAAAAAGCAGATATTGCTCTTAATTATAATTAACACTCATTATCATAAATAGTCATCTTTTAAAAGCACAAAAAACACGAGTGAGGAAGTAGGATATTGTTGTCAGTATCATTTCTACCTCATTGTTTTGTTATGAATTAAGGGTGAAGAGAGACTTTAATCAAACTCTACAGTTGGAGCACCTCCTCCTTCAGATTTATGAAGCTTAAGCGGAAATTCAGAGTGGAAGACCTGAGAACCCAGCTCTGAGCGCTCCCAAACAGGAGCACTCAGTTCTCCTGCCGTCGCCCACAGCAACAGCATCTGTCAATCACACTCAGCTGCCTAACACCCCGCGCTAATCCTCTCTTGCAGTATTAGGCACTGCCCGCATCAGCTTCATATCACGCAGAAGATTCAGATTCAGTTTATTTGCCATTTGCAGTAAAAAAACCACATTGGAATACATTAGCAAAAGAGCAAAAGAAGCTCCATCCAAGGCCCCGGGGGATTTCATCTCATAATCTCTTTCCCCTTCTGCAATGGTGCAGTGCTCTGCCGGGGTCTAAGCTCCAAATCCCAACCACATTCTGTTCAGGACAATAAATGTAATCTTGAAAATATTGTCTTTAGTGTCATATGTGTAATTCATGCTGTGTCAGATTACCTGCTAACCAACATACAATTCTAACCATGTTTTGCCATGTTCCAGTCTCTCCAGATTGAATTGACTGAAGAGGTTTTTTTTTCTGTGAATCCTCTTGTACCACTCCTGCCTTACAGGTGGTACAGCAAACAGCTTATTGTTGGTTGGCAGTGATGTTTTTTGAAGCTCTGAGTGGTCCTGCAAGCATTTCTCTAACCACAACGGGAGCAGGTAGAATGGAGTTTTCCTTAGGCACAATTCATAATTCATATTTGTGTCCCATTTTCTCTGGTCACACAACAACAGCCAAAATCAGCCGCATTCGTCCGGAGCGACCATTTTACAAAGGTCAAGTGATCACCAAACACTCAGATGAACAAAACAGCCCAGAATATCTCATCAGCGCCGTTCATTGTATCTGTTTGATGTCATTACCGCCACAGAAACAGGATTTGAAGATGCCTCTACAACAGCAGAGAAGAGGGAATTATTTACAAGTCTCTGCCTGATCCCCCGCCGCCTGCTGGATGTTTTAAAGATGCATGACCAGAGCGTGTACGTTTTTTTTATGTTGTTGGAGTTTGCTGCATTGCCAAAAGGTTAGAATTCAGGCGAGACTGAAAAACAAAGCTTTTAGACAGGGGCAAATGCAGAAGATTAATATGTTTGTACTGACTAGACTTATGGATGCTACTTTGGAGGATGTTTGAGATTATAGTGATTTTGATTTCACAAAGAAAAATATCATTTTGGACTTGAGGTGTCCAATTAATCAATGTTTGCTCAATAAACAAAAATAACTGCACACAAGAAGACCAACACAGTAATGGTTCTGATGCTCTGAAAAAGAATGATTAATTGCTTAAAATGTGAGACTAATCTGATATATTTCATTTCTTGGAGAGTGACATATGCAAAGCTTTTGCTGATATTATTATTAGATATATTTGTTGTATAGTCAAATTCTCTGTTTTTTTTTTTACAAGCTGTGAGCCATAATTATCAACATTATAACAAATAAAGGCACTTGATTTATGAGTCTGTCAAATATTAGTTTTGCACTAGCCTGGTCTTATCCATCCGTACTCTCCGCTCAGTCATCATTTCACTGCATGTAACGTCTGGGTCTGGTTCCTGTGTTTGCGATTACAATCGGTTGAATTTCGACCGACCAATCAGAGAGCGCGGAGTGTTGTAGTTAGTTGTGGGTGACGTCAAGAGTTTGCGTAAAACGGGAAGGTTGTAGTTTAGCAATGGCGAAAAATGCGATAGTAAAGTAATCCGGTCTGGTTCTATCAAGAAACTGAAGCCGGAGCAATAGGAATGTTTAGCGAATGAAATTGCAAAAAATTGTGCCGCTACTCCCCACGGGCTCCGTTAGCGGCAAAGGAGATGGCTAAAGCTAGGCTAAATGCTAAATGCTAACAACTCACTCGGGCTCATTACATACGTCACGGTAAACTCAGATCCAATGGTTTCAATCTGCAAAAGGAGTTAACCCCTCCCACCTGTTCACGGAGTCAATGCAGCACCTCCAGACCTTAGTATGAAATGTAATCTGTACTATGGTGTGGTACGACCAGGCTAGTTTCACATTGTAAGTTGAAACAGAAGTATCCATGTTCTGAATGACCACGTTCAACTTTGTAAATGGCTTTGGCTCTGTTTTTATATGTTCATGTTGTAGAATTCTATTTCCATCGGGGGCAGGAGCCAATACAACTAAAAGCATTATATTTGTGAGAACTTTAAGTAAGTATTTCACAAACCACAGGTCACACAAAGCGCTTCACAATTTTGGTTGCAG